TTTTATTTTGTTCACAAAGCAAGAGGAGTTTTGTCAGCAGAAGGAGCATTACAGCATGTACACCTCCACTGTTCTGTTGATGAAAGTTGACTTTTGTCAACAAAACTGGGCAGTGAAGACAAGGCCTAAGTCCCTCAGGACCATGAGGACAGATAGATGCCTCTCTCCCTTTCATGTTTCTGTGTACTAAAACACGGTCTATGATCCAGACCTTTAGCACCACAAATAGAAAAGGACAGATTTAAAGGTAAAGGTAGCTTTTGAAACAAATTTAAAATACCGAAAACAGAGATAAAGGAAGTGAGAACATTATTATTAAAATGTATCATCATTTGTACTGTGGTAGCACCAAAGGCCTCAATCAGAATCAAGGCCCCATTGTGCTGGCCACTGTAGTGACACACACAAAGATGCAGTTCCTTTCCCACAGAGCTTGGAACCAGAAAGCCAGTAAGTCGTTTGCACTGTTTAAGTGCAAAGTTCAAACAGCGTTCTGCAACTGATTAAATTAGATGTTGCCTATGCACCAAGCAAAATGAAAATTGCGTGAGCACCAAAACCATTATGACGCAGTAACTTACTGCAAATGCTACTGAAGGAAGCCTCTGGCCTACAGTTATGCTTAAAAAAGGTTACACTCAACAAAGCATGCACAAACCTTAATGGTTCCAATAAAATGGAGGAGCAGTGTTCTTTCTCTCTTCTTGTTCCATGATAGCGAGGGATAATTGGAGTTACTGGGGTTTATTTAATTGCTCAGGGAAAGCAAGGATGGTATAAAATGAGTCTGAAGACAGATATGTAAACATCCTGAAATGTTCAAGGGAGTTCTACAATTGTAGGATCAATCACTAAACACACTGTCTCCAGCTCTCACCAGTCTTATTCTTGGTGTAGACAGCTATGCTGTTCCTGAGAAATGCAGTTGTCATGGAAGGTTGGTTACAGACAGTTGGGTGGTGCCTCAGACAGCTTGATCCCAGCCCATGGAGAGGTTTGAAGATTAGAATCAGGATCTTGAACTTGGGCCAGTATTCAATGGAGAACCACAAATAGCATGAGACCAGCTTTCCAAGACTGCACTGGCTCCCTCCTTGCTGCTTGTGGCCATTCAGGCAGTTTATTTTGATTTATAAAGCTCAGTGTGGTTTGTTCTTCACTACTGGAAACACTGCCTCACAACCTATGTGATAGCATGACAGATGAAGTTAGGGTGTGTCACTTTAGGTCACAGTCCCTGAATCTGAACACTAGGGAACTGGAAGCCAGGCATCATCAACGGAAAGCCCTCAACTCTGGAATTTCCTCACTCCATTATGCTGGTAGATAGAGTCCGTGGACTTGCAAGGTCTAGTGCAGTTAGCACAGCTGGGAATGAGAGTCTGGGTTCTGTTCCTAACTGCCAGTGATCATCATGTGATTCTGGTCAAGTTATATTTTCTCTCTGCACCCCTGTCATCTCACCTGTAAAATGGGAATGATAATATTTACTCACCTTTTCTAAGTGCTTTGGAAACCTCACACTTTTCATGCTTTGAACTGCAAATCACCATCATCATTTAGTCAGGTGTTTTCAGGAAATAGGGATCTATTTGGGGGTTGGCAGCTGTTTACTTTGACAGTAGTTTAACAATTTATTAAGAGCACCCTGTGTGATAGGCATATTTTATAAATCCAGATATAAAATAAATTTGATAAAACTCAATATGGGAGAGAAAAACTAATATACAACTGGGCTTGAATGGTATAGATTTTTGTTATGATAATAGCAGTATGTAAGCACTCTGCTGGAACAGTGATACAAAGGATAAGCATACTCATAAGGACTCGGATTTGGTTTTTATTTTCTTTTAAAGTTACCTGTAAAGGAATATTGGTTTCTCTTTTACATTATAATAATATTTTACAAATATTTAGTATTACCTCTATAAATGCTCAAGAAAAAATTTAGGAAAACTGGTTTACTAGACAGCAACAATAAGCCAAAACAAGTTGGGGGAGAGAGAGAGAGAGAGAGAGAGAACTGGCTGGAAAATAAATGCAATGGATTTTAGCAGAACTGATTTTGTCACCGTTAGATATTTTTAAAAGATTTCCTAACTCTAAAGGTAAATCAGTCAATTGCACATTCTAACTTGCTCCTAGTTAGAGCAGATGTTCTGCATATGACAATTACCAATTCATAGATCTGCTCACCGCTGTGTTTAAAGAGAAGAGTTAAAATAACCTGTTACACCACTTCAGACAATTACAAGCAGTAGCAAGGTCCGTGAGCACTGCCCTCCTAAGACACTCAAGTACCCACCCACAAACAGCTGGGATTCTTACCAGCCTGCTGTCCTCAGACCCTGACAAGTTGCTCCACCTTTTTAATCAGACTCTGGCTAGCAGGTATCTGATCAATTTAAAACCTACTACCTTCTCAGGCTTTAAAAGCTAAGAGAAAGCTTTCATTGTTTGCACCACTTCCCAGTCCCAGTTTCTATGGTCTGCTTTGAGGGGGCTGGAGGGAGTTTCGCTAATCTAACCCACTGCTCTATTTTAGCTTCTCCTCTGCTATTAACACTGCCTTCTTCTGCAGCAATTTATCAGTTTCTTAAGCAGCACCCTGAAACTTCATAGTTTGTCAGTTTCATGACTGCTCACAGTACACCTCTACCCCGATATAACACGACCTGATATACCACGAATTCGGATATAACGCGGTAAAGCAGTGCTCGGGGGGGGGGGCTGCGCACTCCAGTGGATCAAAGCAAGTTCGATATAACACGGTAAGATTTTTTGGCTCCCGAGGACAGCGTTATATCGAGGTAGAGGTGTATTTGTAGATTTTCCAGTCCCACTTTACCGTTCTGGAGTCTGAATTTGTAAAATTTGTAATACATGACACATTTACAAAAGTTCTTGAACAATACTTGTGATATTCTAGATGAATACAATCTATAAAAATACTAAAGTGTTTTTTGTGAGCTCACATTACAGTGCATTAATTATTCCAATGACTATAGAGACTTTTCTTTTTAGAAAGTGATAAAATTAAAATTGACAATCCTTCACACAAGCCACTTTCTCCACCAGCCAACTAGGGTGTGAGTGGTGTTTTTGTTTTACATGTCTTACCTAATATGTTATAACTATGCAAATCACTTGGATGTCTTCGAACTATACTCATTCATCACAGGCCAGACTGAAACAATGTACAAATGAACCCATGAAAAGCAAGTAAGGGCACGTCTTCACTACCCGCCGGATAGCGATCGATCTATCGGGGATCGATTTATCGCTTCTAGTGTAGACGCGATAAAATCGATCCCCGATCGCTCTGCCGTCGACTCCGGAACTCCACCACAGTGAGAGGCGGAAGCGGAGTCGACGGGGGAGCGGCAGCGGTTGACTCACCGCCGTCCTCACAGCCAGGTAAGTCGACCTAAAATATGCAACTTCAGCTACACTATTCACGTAGCTGAAGTTGCGTATCTTAGGTCGACACCCCCCCCATAATGTAGACCTAGCCTAACAGGTCCTTTTATATACTGCAGACTTGCTAGTCCAATAGGATACTTTAGCTAATGTCACATGGATGAACAATTCTCAGATTAGTCACTTCGGGAAAGGAATATGTTATAACCCTACAGACTCTACTCAGGGATTACAAGTTATTTTATCTTTAGCTAAGAATGGTAACCAGCAAACATTTTAATTGTACAATTTTTCTTGCTTATCCCTAACATCTGTACTGTAGTTCAGAAACTAGACAGTACCCACAGTATTCTATTCAAAACTGCCAGAAACTAGAATTCACAACAGCAGGGATAGAACTGGACACTTCTTGCCATTGCATTTTAAAATGAACTTATTGCAATGTCTAATCAAATTTTCTGAAAGGCTGCTACAGTTACATAAAACTGGATCAGCAGACTACATTTTTCATTTGCCTATTTACTAAGATCTGCAACTGTCACCCACAGCAGATACATTTCCACATATTTAAAACGTGCTGCTTCTTTTTAAAATTCAAACTAAGAAACTTTGGTTCTGTTGCCCTGGATTTATTTCACATATTAGAAAGGAAGTTATCCCACAGTTATAAACAAAGAAAATGAGTCCCATCAACATAATCTGTTCAACCAACCTCGGATTTAAGCTGTCACTGTTTCAATAGGGTTTGTGTTTTTAATTTTTGCAGAGTACACAAGCAGGATCTTAATAATACTTGCACTTAAAAAATAAACGGAGACTTTTCTCCAAGTAGTCTTTGCTACCTCCGATAAAGCTCCTTGTCCCAGTTCAGTTCTCACAAGACAAACCCTGCTCCAGGGCCCCTCCCCAGGGCAACTTCTTCATTTGGCGTAAGTTATTTACACAGAAGGAGAGCGGTGTGTCCATTTCCTGGTTTGGCTTTAGATGGGTGTTTGAAGAGGGGGCGCAGGAAGAAACGGTCTCGGGAACCCCCCACAGCTAATGGTTTCTGCAGAAACGATTTCACAGCCAGTAGAACAAGTTTACAAAGGAAATCTCTTCCCCCGCCACAGCACCTCCCCCCGGTTAGCCCCTCACGGCACTGGGCGAGGCGGGTCGATCCCCGCACACTTGGCCACGCCGCGACCCCCTGCACCCCTCGGCGCTGACAGACGCACACTCCGAGGAGCGAGGGGGGCTGGTGAAACCGGCCTGTGGGGCGAGCGCGGCGGGGCGGGACTGTCCGTTCGCCGGCTGCCGGCGGAGAGCGCAGCGGAGCGGAGCAGGGCGGCGGACGGGTCCGGCCCCGCGGGACGCGCCCCTGAGGCAATGGAGGCGAGCCCCCCGAGCCCCGAGCCGGGCTCGCTCCGGCACGTGCCGGGCTGCCCGGCCCACCGGGACAGGGCCCCGCTCCCGCGGGCTCAGGCGGCGGCGCCCCCCGCACTCACTGCCCGCGGCAGCCCCGCAGCGCGGCCGGACAGCGCCCCGCTCCCGGGCCCGCTCAGCCCCCCCCCCCGGGCTCGCCACGGCCCCGCCCTCACCTGAACCGGGGCGAGTCCTTCAGACACTCCTCGAAGTCCACGGCCACCTTCATCGTGGGGGCGACGGGCAGCGACCCCGGGCTGGCCAGAGCGGGGCGGGGCTAGGCGCGCGGGGCGGGGCTCATGGCGGGCTGGGGGCGGCCGCCGCCGTTGCTACTACGCCTACGCGAGACTGAGAGACGTCCCGCTGAAGGGACTGACAACCCGGCCAGCCAATCGGAAAGCGAACTGTACAGGGTTGGCCAATTCTGGGGGGACGTAGGCGGTGCTTCCTGCTGCGCAGCCTACTAGCTGAGTGACAACTAGATTATCCAATCATATCAGGCGCTTAGCCGGCCTGGGCAACCACCAAACGCAGCATGAGGCGATACTGCTACGCCCGCCCTACAGCAGTGACACGCAGGAAGAGCTAGCCAATCACAGAACGCGACAGGGAGCTACTTCCGTATGCCGCCCTTTCCTGGTAAATGACAGCCACGCAAGCCAATGGAGATAGACAAAGTAAAAACGTGACAGCTGCTCCTACGTCGTGCCGTCTTTTACAGCTGACTGACAGTTAGATCGACCAATCACAGGGGGGAAAAGCAGTAGGCGGGGCTTTGCAGCCACAGAGCAAGGACGAGAGGCTGTAGCGGGGCTGCTCGTCATGGGGCGGTGACTCTGCGCCCGTTGAGGCGACGTGGACGGGCGGAGATGAACCACCCGCCCTGCCCATGGCTCCCCGCGGGCGGGGCGGGGCGGGGTCTGGCTCCGGCTCTCCGCTCGGGTCGTAGAGCGCCTGCGCCAGCCGCCGGGCCTGCGGAACTCCCTGCCACAAGATGGCGAGAGGTTAAGAAGCCCAGGGGCAAGATCTGTCCCGTGGCCTCCGTGTCTCAAGCTCTGCAGGCCACGTTCCGAGCTACCTGTGCTCCGAGCCCTGCTGGCTCAGCTCAGCACGTGCCCAAGACCTATGGGGCAGCGAGCACCCCGCTGCTGGACGGGCGCAGGACAGCCAGGTCAGAGCTGACCGCTGGCCTGGCCTAGCCCTACCCCTGCAGCGTTAGATAAAAGCCCTTGTCATGCAGGAAACCGCCCTGGTGGACATAATGGGTGTCTTCTATAGCCACTTCTTGTGGTACACGCCCTACCACGGGCTTAAGGAGACCTGGGCCAGGAAGTAGCGGTCTAATGCCAGTTCATTTTAAAACCAGTCCTTTAAGAGAAAGCCATGCCAGCTAACTAGCGAGTTAGGTCCCTGCAATTCATTGCAGTTAGCACCCCACATGAGGTTGCTGTGGGGTAGGGTTGCTAATCCTCCCCGATTGTCCCAGAGTCTCCAGGAATTAAAGATTAATTTTTAATTAAAGATGGTCATGGGATGAAGTCCCCAAGAATTCATCCAACCAAAGTTAACAGCGCTGCTGTAGTGGAGCACTAACATTACACAGTAACCAGCCCCATACACGTGTGTTACCCTGCTACCCACAAACAGCAGCAGTGGTGCTAGACAAACACCACAAGACAGACCCCAGTTACAGTCCTGACCTTTGCACATAGTTCTGACTCATACTTAGACCCTTTGAAGTCAAGAGGATTCTTACCCATGAACTACTTCTGTAAGAGTTAAAGGAGCAGATGCCGCTGTGGTAGTATGTGAATAGTAACTGCTGTATTTTAAAAGCAGTGAGTAAATATTTAACTGCTGACAACCCATTAAGACAATGCTCCTGTGGTGATTTGACTCACTCTAGGGAAGGGTTCACTCAAGCCTCTGGCCATAAAGAGAAACAGATGCAATTTTACTAGATTGCAAGGAAAATTGTAAAGCTTGATGCTCAAGTCATCACAGAAACCACCTGAGTCCCCTCAAATTTACTCTTTGTTTTTATACTTTTAAAGCAGCCAAGACTTTATCTACATTTAGTATTTTTATATGTTACACATACATGGAAGAAAAACACATCCTTAGTTCAATTAACAACTGTTACACAATTCAGAATATGATTTTGGGCAAATTGCTTAGTCTCTGACTCAGTTTATCCCTCTGTGTAATGAATATAGTAATCACTCCTCATGTAGATATTGGAAAGCTTCCTTAATTGAGAACATAAGAAGAGGCATACTGGTAGAATCTAGCCCCATATCCTGTCTTCCGACAGTGGCTGCTGCCAGACGCTTCACATGGAATGAACAAAACAGGGTAGTTTTCAAGTGATCCATCCCATCATCCAGTCTCAGCTTCTAGCAGTCAGAGTCTTAGGACACCCAGAGCAAGGGGTTGCATCCCTGCCCATCTTGGCTAATAGCCATTGATGGTGGACCTATCCTCCATGAACTTACCTACTTTGGAAATAATGTTTTTATAGTGGTAGAGATCAGGGCATCCTTGTGCTATGCAGTATACAGACAAGTAACTCGAAGTCAGTCCCTGCCTGGGAGCCACTACGCTCTAGGATTCGATGGCTCTAGGATTCTGACAAGATGAACAGCTTAACAACAGACAAAGAGAGCTGGGTAACACTACAGAAATATATTCTTGCATAATTAACAGTCACTGTAAACAATGATAGTGCTAAGAACATTGAGATTCACATGGAAGCTGCTACAGCTGTGCAAAGTATTGCTACAAACAGGCAGAATTTTCATGTCATTTTCTGCAAAGAAGCAAAGAAATTCTGCAGGGATAGGGGCATTTTCTGTGGAGTACCGCAGAATTCCCCCAGGAGTAATTCTAGTAATAGATCAATACCATACCTGTGTTAGGATTTCTTTTATTCCTAATAACTTTTCAAAGTGTTTCATTGTCCTTATCTTTGCTAGCCCTTCTTGTGTCATTTTGCACAATTTTAGCTTTTGATATTTATAGCTATCAATTTCTCCTTTTTTTAATAGCTGCTTTTATTTCCCCTATAGGCTTGTTTTTTTAAAATACCCGTTGAGCCTTCTCTCTCTGTTGTAGCATTTTGGGCAATTAATAATGTATTCTTAAACAGTTCCCTATCATCATTCACGTTTTTTTTCTTTACATTTGCTCTCCCACCTTCCATGGGAGGACAGATTAAAGAGACTGTTCAGCTGGGAAAAGAGACAACTGAGAGGGAGGAATAGGAATGGTGTGGATAAAGCCAATAGGAAAGTGTTATTTATCCTTTCACATAACAAAAGAACAAGATCACCCAATGAAATTAATAGGCAGAAGGTTTAGAACAAACACAAGGAAGTATATTTTCACACAATGCACAGTCAACCTGTGGAACTCGTTGCCAGGGGATGTTGTGAAGGCCAAAACTATAACAGAGTTCAAAAAAGAACTAGATAAATTAATGGAGGCTAGATCTATCAATGACTATTAACCAAGATGGTCAAGGATGCAATCTCATGCTTTGGGTGTCCCTGGCCTTTGACAGCCAGAAACTGGGTTTGGAAGAGAGGGGATGGATCACTCAATGTTTTCCTCTTCATTTTCATTTCCTCTTCATGTTCATTTCCTCTGAAGCACCTGGCACCAGCCACTGTCAGAAGACAGCATACTGGGCTAGATGGGAACTTTGGTCTGACCATTCTGACAGAATTCCCAACAAGGATTGTCTGTCTTCCTTGGACGGTTGGAAATCTCTTTGTGGGCGCACTTGATTGTCTTCTGGGTTGGGCTTAGTAGCCATCCAGGTCCCATGCAACTCCCCATTCCATTAGATCAACCAGATCGTCAGATATTTTCTTCAGTTTCCATGCTAAGAGCTTGATAATGATTGCACACTTCTACTTACGTGTAATTCCTCCTGGTCCTGTTCTGTCTGGTGGTTGCGGCCTGCTCCATCCTCATTTGGCGCTAGCAGTGTAGAATGCCACCTGGTCCTCTTGCCTCTGGTGGTAAACTGCCCACCACCCTCTCTGGTTCCCACGCTCTGGTTCCTTAGTGATCAGTTCCTTTCTTTCTTGAACCTGGGGTTGTGATGCTTTCTGAATCAGGTTGTCCAAACTCTCCTTAACCTCTCTGATGCTCTGTCATATCTGCACTTTGTCCTTCCAGGCCACAAATCTTTCTTCCAGCACCGCCGACAGCTTGCACTTGGAGGAAATCCGTTCTGGGAGGAAAAACATGACATCTGTTGCAGGTCACAGGGGTTAATCATTCAGATTTCAAACATGGTCTGATCGGACACCCCCAGGTTCAAGCGACTGCTCCTTGCGGAAACATGAACAGACCTCTCATTTGGCCTGCTTAGGGACCCAATGCCCCAGCCACATGGCCCTCATGGAGTCAAAAACAACAAACAGAACACACAATTCACCCAGTCCTTGTACCTCCAAGCACAGGAACTATAGCTACTCCCTCCAAAATGCCCATTTGCTCTTCCTTTCCTCCCATATGTACCATAAGGCAGAATTTAACAATCCTTGTGATATTACATAACCTAGATCACTGCTTCATATAGCTCCCATCTCAGATTTGCTGAGTGCCTATACTGAGCTCAGTACTTTTTTTTTTTTTTTTTTTTTACTGTTGCATTAATTTCAAGGGAATATGTGGGCCCAAAAAGTTAACAGTAATAGTTTTAAACAAGGTTCAAGGTTCTGAGTACAAAGCCCTCAGGCCCTTTAGTACCATGGCAAACACACCATTAAAAACATGTAACTTTTTATTAAAGATACAGAAAAAGTAAAAACAGCTAGGCCATTTGAAATATAACGTATTAAGCAACTTAGGGCTAGTCTACACTGGCAACATTAAAGCGCTGCTGAGCTGCTGGACTTCATCAGAATTTGGGGAGAGGAGGCTGTCCAGTCCCAGTTGCGCTCCAGCCGTAGGAATTATGATACCTATGGCCAGATTTCATGATGCATGACAGAAAGGGGCCATGACCAAAACACACTGCAGTGCAGGGTCAAAGTGAAGGAGCTGTGGAACGCCTACCACAAGGCGCGGGAGGCAAACCGCCGCTCCGGTGCTGCGCCAACGAGCTGCCGGTTCTACAAAGAGCTGGACGCAATACTCGGAGGCAAACCCACCGCCACTATGAAGGCCACTGTGGATACTTTGGTGCCTCGCGTGCCAGTCGAGAGTGGACCGAGCCAGGAGGAGGAAATCTTGGACAATGAT